GTGTGTGTGTGTGTGTGTTCCTCTGTTCTCATCCTGTTAGTCTCTGCAGAGATGTGGTCTGACATTTAACCATGTCACAACAGACCCCCGAGCACAACGGCTACTTTCTAACAGGATAACATCCTTATTTGTTTGAACTGCACAGAATTGGATTATTACACACACACTCTCTCTCTCTCTCTCTCTCTCTCTCTCTCTCACACACACACACACACACACACACACACACACACACACACACACACACACACACACACACACACACACACTCCTGGTTGGTGTTTTTCTTACTTTCTTCTCTTTCTCATCTTTCCATTCAACACAAAACAGATAAAACTTTATCGACTCCTGAGGGCAAATTCACCACAGCAGCACAGAGAGGAAGCATTTATAATTACAGTGTAAAACCAAACGACACATCTTAATAAAAGTTTACATAAATGAACTTAATTAAATTAAAAAATAAATTGTAGAAGCAACTCAGTTGTTGTTGTTGAACTTAATGTTGTGCAGTATTTTAAATATTGTTGATTTAATTCAAGTTCGTTCACTGACTCATTTTATTAGAAACATTATAATTCTGTTTATTAAAGATCATAAGCCTAATTATGCATCCAAATTATTCATAAAGATTTGATGTTTGTCACATAAGAAAAAAACAGAAAATTACATCCAGTTCTGTCAGATTTTGCTGGATGTTTTAGGAGGATTGTTGCATCATAAAATTCCTGATTTAGGCATGTTTATGCTGCCTCATTGCCAGGGCGTCAAATCCAGACACTTTGGGACTGAGACTCAACAAACTTCCAACCCAAAGTGCTTTTATATCTTTCTCAGCTCTGATTGGTTGTTTTCGATCGATGGGGCCCGGTGGATTTTTACTAGGAATGGTAAACAGACTGTACTCGTATGGTTTCCTTTCTAGTCTTCCAACCACTCAAAGCACTTTTACACTACAGCCACATTCACAGCAGCATCAGGAGCAGTTTGGGTTCAGTATCTTGCTCAAGGCCACTTCAACATGCAGCGGGAGGAGCCGGGGATCGAACCAACAACCTTCCGATTAGTGGACGACCTGCTCTTCTTATATGACAAAAAGTTATTGTTACTTACTGCAGTTTAGTGAAGACAAACTTGTTTTTTGCACTTGAGTAAATGTACTTAGTTTCTTTACACAGCATTAAAGTAAAATAATAATACTGTAAAATAAATAGTGCTCTGTAACTCCCACAGTAATAATGTGACGAGATGCAGGTGTATTGTTTTAATGTTGCTCTCCCTCTCTGCCAGCAGTGACTCGTTCACACCCTCAGAGCAGATACTGTATATCATTCTGTATATTATTCATCTTACAGTAGCTCCGTGACTGTGAATCGTGTCTGAAAATCACAGTGTGTCACCCTGGAGTCACCTAGCACTTACAGCTACAACCCGTTGGCCCGTCCTCCTCCCTCTCAGCTGCCTCCCGCAGACTCCTGTCACTTATCTTCAGAGGCTGTCTGCAGTGCGAGCCGTCGCCTCGGGCAGAGGAAGCCGCCACGAAACCACCGGCGGCGAAGGAGGAGCGGAGGGAAAGAGAACCGGAAAAACAAAACAAAGAGAGACACAACAAAAGGCCAGCGGGCATGGTGATTCTTTTTGTTATTTCTGTCCTGTGGAGCGGCTGCTAGCCACATGTCGCTACTCACAAGCCATCCCACCCGTCTCCATAGCAACAAGGTGCACATTTTAAGACATCATTGAGACGGAGAGACGGCAGAATTGATGCACTTTGGCCAAAGCTTCAGAGAAATAGTTTGGTGTCTGTGTGTTCAGGGCTGGAGTCAAGATGGGGTTAGCCTAGCTTAGCATAAAGAACTGGAAATAGGCTACATTTACTTAACTTAAGGACAATTCAGCACTTCGGTACTTGTTGTTTTATGTTTTACCTCGACACTACATTTATCTGACAACTGTAGAGATTAATAATGCAGAATCTAATCAACAGAAACATTTTATTTCACATTAAGATAAATCAGTGCTAGTTATATCTGAAATCTAATAATTGACATAATCGTCATCAGTTTTCCTACAGAGCGAAACACCAGCTAGATAATCTACATCAGTTGTTAGTTAGCTATATGTTAACTAGATGTGACTATATATGTTTTTTTTAATCTTTTAACTATTTTCAAAATCGTGTTGTCTGTTCACCATAGATTAGCCTAGCACGTAGCATATCTAAATACAGGGAAAGAAGGAAGTTGAGGTTTTCTCAGTTCTTATTGGAGCACAGAACAAAAAGGGGCGGGACTTAGGAAGGGTCAACTGGTAAGTGTTACTGAAGTGTAACTGTTTCCCCTTGCTTCCAGTCCTTATGCTAAGCTAAGCTAACCACGCTGTGACTCCAGCTCTGTACAGACAGGAGACTGATCTTCTCAACCTCACAAAGAAAGAAAACACACAAATAATTGAACTCTTTCTTCAATTAAATGAATAAACACTGTAATGTTGTCTTGTTCTGTGCGTCGGTTTGATGCAGCCTCCTGAGTATCCGGAGCGTGACGAGACTTTCTGCTCGTCTTTGTGAACATTTATGTTTCTGCTTGTTCTTGCAAAGCTTATTTTTTATCAAACACACACACACACACACACACACACACACACATAGAGTAATTGTAGCTCAGTAAATATGTGCTGTTGTTGTTGTGACTCACACTGATTACAGCTCAGCCTGGGGATTCACATGAGGGACTCTTTAAATGTTTTCCATTATACAATTTTAAATAACGCCCATACATGCGTTGCAATGTTTGTGAGCGAGCAGCATCAATATGTAATCTGGTTGAATAATTCACAGCACTCTGCCTCCCGTGTGATCCTGAGTTCACTCAGACGTAATGTACAGTGTCACTAACACGCACATACAGTGGACACAATGACGGAAGGAGTGTTAAAGTAAACGGTGGCTTTAAGGCGCTGAAACAAACATTACAGGCAGATAAATGGACCAGAGGAACTACGTCTATGTTGGTCTGTGCAGTCAGGGGGGTTGTGTCGGACAAATACAAGAAACCAGGGTTTGATTTCTGTGTGTAACCTGATTTTAACACTTGATTTCGTTCTCTTTTCCACCATTATTAACATTAATTATAAATCTACCATGTGTAAAACCAATCACATTGCGAGTATTTGCACACTAATTATGGAAAAGTTAACATGCAATATTAAAAATGTGCATTAAGCCTTCCAATGGATGGAAACACATTATGTTGAAGCTAACGACATTCTGAAGATGGTTAAATGTTGGCGTGGGAACCCTGTGTTAACTACAGCGTGTGGGTTTATGCCAATGAAGGAAGAGCCACTGCAAGAGGAAGAGGAAAAACATATATCAGACTTTGGTTTTTCTCTGTAAATGAGATTTATTGATAAGAAGACATATCAGTACCTGTGATCTTTAAACCACAACCACACAATATAGTTCCCAGCTGCAGACATGGGAGACGTTGTCAGTATAACTCGGGGTTGCAGTAATATTAAAGTTAACACACGAGTAGAATCTGCATTTCACAGCCTTTCATTAGCGTGAATGTAGGTGGTTGTAGGACGTGTTGACAGGTCACACTGAGCGCTCTCCAGCCGCCGTACAGTCACTGATTTATGAAGCTGAACATTGTGACAGAAACAAACGACGTCACATGGCTGAGGCTTTAATACGGCGTCATAAAAAAGACATTAAATCCAACTCCATAATGCCTCCGAGCTACAAATACAGAGAGGAATATAATATTCAACTCTTTTTAAATTTCTCCTGCACAGTTTGACACCCGAATGGACTTCATGATGTTTGGACGTTCTCAGTAAAACGTTAAAACGAGTTTCTTCATTAATACTGAGAGCAAAGTTCAATAAATCTACACAACCTTCGATAACCCACAAGCACTAAAATAAAAGTACTAATACACAGAAATCACAATTACAAGGTCTGTACTCAAAATCTTATTTTGTATTAAAGTGCTCATTGTGCAGAATGGCCCATTTCAGAATATGTATTAATGTATTATGATTATTGATGCATTAATGTGTTCATCACTTTAATGCTGCAGCTGGTAAATGTGGAGCTGATTTTAATTACTGTATAAACTACCGGAGAGCTTAATCTATTTCCATATATCATGTTTTATTAGTTGTTTTATATTTTGAATTTGAAAAAAAACAAAACTGAAGCTGTCAGATAAACGTAGTGGAGTAAAAAGCCTCCAAAATGTTGTAAAGTAGACGAATAAATTAACATAAATTAAAGTACTAATACTTCATAACTGACTCTAAACACTAACTAACTATCTAGCTAACAATTTATGTAGATTATTTTACTATGTATCTAGCAATTTGCTAACATTAGGAAGCTAAGTTTCTTAAAAAAGGATGAAAACTGATGCAGCAGATATATATTTTTTTATTCCACACGTTCTTCCTTGTCAAAAGCTGGCGCCTACATTACCCACAATGCAATGCTAGGTCTGAAGAGAATCACGTCTTTCTCCACATTATTTAGCAGCTACCTCTGGAGACACAGGCTTTCTGCCACAGTGCCACTTTTGATGCAACCATTAAGAGTCACCAGAGTTTTAAAACCGTACACATGCAGGTTTAGAGCCGTCCTAATGGCAGTAAATTACACCGCTGGAAGCCGTCAACACATTTCCATCTGCACAAAGTAAACAACACATAATTATCACCTTTAATATTAAACTGATGGTTATTTTTAGGTAAATTATTAGGTGATAATAAAGTGCTGACAGCCTACAAAGTACACAGGGTTAGTTTCTGCTGCTGCCTCGCTCCATGTCGGTATACTGTGTCTTACACTCGGGTCAAAGGTCACCGAAACAGACAATAATAATTCTCCTAAAACACTCAGACGGAGAGAAAACAGCGATGGTAAATTGTCTGATTCCATTATTGTTTGTCCTGTAAGTGCTCACAGAGTCCCACCCTCCCTCGGCTCAGACAACAAGCAGTGTTTATTGTCTTTATTCAACCCTTAATATCAGGCGATTTCAAAATAAAAGCATCTCACTGGGACACAACAGCACAGGAGCAGAGATAGAAGATACAAGCAGATACAAGGCAATACTGAGTGGTACTTTAATACATATTCTTAAAGTCCAGCTGAAATCACTAAATTTGTCCCTTTTTGCAGGAATAAAAAAACATTTTCTAATTTGTCGCTAATATTATTTTTAAATGTTGAAAGAAGGACTTTGGTCCTTTGGTGTCGAGTGTTTGTGATGGATCTTTTGCTCTGTGCTCCAATAACAGTTGAGCCGCGGTCATCTCCCTCCTTTCCTATACGTAGAGATGCTACATGCTAGGCTAATATATGTTTGATTAGCTTAGCATATAGCATATCTAAGTACAGGAAGGAGGAAGAAGGTTTAAGAAGGTCAGTTGAGATTGAGAATTTAATTCTACAGAGATCAGTGGATTCACACCAAGTTGGTTTAAATTTGTGCTGTTGACTAATAACCGTCTTCACAGTGCTGCCACATCCAGGGAGTTTACATCAGCATGCTAACATGTTAAATTAAGATGTTGCATGAAACTTGCACAAAGCGTAAAGCACTGCTGCGTCTAAAGCTGCTAGCATGATTGTAGATAATAATAATGTTTTTAAAAATGGAGCACAGGACAAATTAACAGATCTTTTCAGGAATGAACATGCAATTTAATTTCAGTTGGACTTTAAAACAATAAGCAAGAATACTGTTTTATGTTTAAAGGAGCAATATGTAAGAATTTTAGTTTAAAACATTAAAAAAGTAACTAAAATGATCAATAGAATATGTAGAAATTAAAGTTTTGAGGTTTGTGATAAAACAACTTTGTGAAACGCTGTTTACGACAAATTCTTATTTATTCGGGCTTTCTTGTAAATTCTTCAAACGTTATAAATGAATTAAACAGAAGATAAATATAGTAAGGTAAATCAGGATGACATGAAACACTGAGAAACTAGGATTCACATTATTAATCAGCTGTCAGCGATCAATCAGAGTGATCTCTCTCTTCGTCTATTCACGTAAACAACATCTTCGTTTTCTTCGCGTTCTTTCTCGACATTCTTCAAAATGTGGTTGTCTTTTCGACATAGCTTAGCTTAGCATATAGCATATCTAAATACAGGACAGGAGGAAGTTGACCGAGTTTCCACAAGGGTCCAAACTTTAAATACCATATGTGAAATCAGCCACCAGGAACATCGCTAGCTCCAATACCTAAACTTTGCGTATCGTCTGATACCATGTGCATTATAAAATAGCGTATACTACTACACGATATCGTCGCTGTCGTTGTTCTATGTCCCGATTCATCCTGCTGGGAAGTAGCTGGGACCCGTTTCGGGGCTAATGAACTACACGGCGTCGGATCGGTGAACAGTCCAATATACTTGCCGAGTTTAGGCGGTATCAAAGGATTTCCTGATACTGTTTTGGTATCGGAACAACTCCAGTGGACACCCTGACGGTCTGCCGATACGCTGCCCCGAATTTGTTTGGAGCATCTGTTGGACAGGTGGCCAATTCTTACATAGAGCTCCTTTAAGCTAATACTGTACAACAGCTGATTCCAGCACCAGCGTTATCTTACACGTGAATACAGTACTGGATGCTTCTATTGGCTTTAGAAAGATAAGAAGTACATTTCTTGAAAACATGCAGCTGCAGCCTCACACACACACACACCAGAGGAGGATCGTCTTCATCAGGGATTCTGCTCTTCGTCGGGGTCAGCGCCGAGTTCAGATACAGTCTGTATTGCTTTGGCAGCGAGCACACTGAAAAGGGTACGAAGCTCACTGTCCATTTAGTTCATTAAATATTGCAAATAAATCAAAAATCTGAATGAAAACACTCGTCGAGTTGCAGCAGCGCGGCCGACAACACATGCACCGACTCCCTGAGGAGGAAGAAATAACAGCTCAGCTCACAGTTTCCTTCTTTCATGCAGCCTCTCACGCTCTAGTTTTCCCCCTGTTCAAGCCTCAGGCGATCATCTTAATGAGCAACTCCCGGTGAGAGGAGTAACATCCACTGGTCCACAGACACACGGGAGTACATAAAGAAGAACCAGCTAACCAAAGTGTTAGTCAGAGCAGCGGTTCTCAAACGGGGGTGTTTGAGTGCTACAGAAAGAATCTGACATTTTAAAAAAAAGCGTTATATCAGTCTTATAATTCCTAAAATAATTACACTGTAGGTTCAATGAACCACATTTAAACTTAATGTCGTCTTTGTGTTTTTGCTATGAATTTATTGATTTTAAACATCTGTAATGAGGCGTTTATAAAACCTTTTTCTTTCTATTAAAAATGTCAGAGGGTACCTGGCTGAAAACATATCACAAAGGGGGAATATTAATCGAGTACCACTGAGAGTCTTATTCGACCCACTTTTCATCAGTCTGAGAGAAAGAAATAACGTCAAACTCTGTGGCAACACAAACCTTTTGTATGCTAACTGTACTAGCTGCTATTATCTACTTATAGCAGTCCTATTAGCTGACTCTAACCGTACTGAGAGCTCAAAGGCCAGAGGGACGTCTGTTCACATCACTAGAGCTCAAGTCTCAGAGACCGACGAAGGCTCCGACCAGTACTCTGACTCTGGGGATGAAGACTCAGCGGGTTCAGGCAGCGACAGGAGAGCAATGAAACCAGTTAATCTTTCAGTAACTGTTAACGTTATCCATCATCCATCGTATCGATCAGTCCACCGGGATTTGTTTCAGTGAAGTTGGAAGTTATTTATTCTGTGTGTTGAACACCCAGACTGTGTGATGTTACACTGTGTTGGAATAAATTAACTAAATGTTCAGTCTCCTTCAGAATCATTAATGTTGAACATTTAACAGGTACGTGTATATTGTTATCCAATCACAGCAATCGTTCCGCAAATTTGATCAATCTTTGTAGTTTCCTGAGTCAAACTCAGTTCCTTGTTCCGTGCTGTGAAATGCAGAAATCCAAACAGTGCGATTTTATTCTCACTGGAAGAAGTTGTCCTTGATTTTTAATGAATTATACAAAAAATAACAATAATAATCGCAATTATATTTGCAGTTTTCACTTAATTTCATTGCAAAATATGTGTAAAAACATAAATGCATCGCAAAAGAAAAAAAGCTGAAGTGAAATTAGGCATTTAGGGCCCAAAAAAGCCAGCAGAGAGTTAAGTTAATATCATAAACGCGTGACTGGGACAATCTTTATTCGGGGACGGCAGCCCTACAGGTCGCAGATGGAGGAAGAAACAAAGAAGGAAAACAGCGAGAGGCACAGAGAGGACGATGCTCACATTTTCCCTGATCTTGTGTTCTTTGAGTGCCCATTTTATCTCCGATAAAGGACACTTAGTGATATTTGTTCTCTTCCAGTAAGACCCTCAGGCAACTCTCCTCCTCTGCCATGCATACACTCACACACAAACACACATCGTAGTTCTGTTTGTACTTTAAATTACTGAACACAGACCCTGTATCCTCTTGACTTCCGTTTCAAATTGTAATCAAATCACTCTCCTTCAGTCATTGAATATACAATTACACTGTATTCTTAAATAACATTAAAGATAATTGATTCAGCCACTTGACTGTGGCTTTCTGAAATCTCCTTTGTCAGTGTGGCTCTGACTCAGCTAACGGCGTTCAGACCAACACAAGAAGAAAAGAAAATGGACGCAATTTCCTCTTAATGTACAAGTGTTTGTGTCGATGCTTCAGAGGGTCAATCCCGGTCAAATTCAGAGAGAAAGAAATCATTTTTATCTTCAGATAAACGGTCCTTCTGTCCACCGGCAGTTCAGAACATAATACCACGTTCCTGTCTAGAAGAAAGTACCCTTTGTGTCCCGGCACAGTATCCTCTTGAAGGCCTTCCTGAAATCATTGTTGAAGATGGTGTATATGACCGGGTTGAGGCAGGAATTGCAGTAGCCAATCCAGAAGAAGAATTTAAACAAGGGGTTTGGGATGCTGCAGGTCTCGGGGCACACAGCCTGGAGAGAGTAAGAGAAGAAAAAGGGGAACCAGCAGATCACAAACACTCCCATCACAACAGCCAGCACGAAGGTGAACCTCTTCTCCCGGTTCACCATGGCTTTGCGGCGTGAAATGGGCGTCCCCTGGATCTTAGGTGTTTCTTCGTGTACCAGTTTGGTGCCGGATGACGTGGCCATAGTGTTTCTGTACCTGCAGGCCAGGTTCAGCACCTGAACTTTAAACCCTTTGCTTGCTCCCGTATTTTGTTCGTCAGCCTTGTTCGTCTCTACTTTCCCGTCCAGCTCGCAGTCGGAGCCGGAGCTCGAGAAGTTGTCGGGAGGCGCCTCGCCGCCTTCGTCGGGATTCGTCTGGGGCTCTTTGTGGGGAACAGCTGAAAGGATTTGGGGGATTGCCGGAGCTGCACTCGAATCAGGAGGGCAGTCTTGGCTCGGGATGTTGCCAGGCGGGTTTCGATGCCATAACACGGCTGAATGTGAGCCAGACATTTTGTTCAGGACTTTATCTTGTTGGCAGGCAGTCGTACCTCCTTGATCCCCGTTCTTTTCTGACTCTAACTTCACCGGAGGCTCGCTGGTTGCCACAACTGCGTTTCCTCCCGCTACCGCTTTGTGCTTCTGTCCGGGCGGGCAGCGTGTATGCTGCTTGGCGATCTGATAAATCCTCATATACACCAGAATCATTATCACACACGGGGCGAAGAACGAGCCGATGGTGGAGTAGAGAATATACCAGCGTTCGTTGTTGAGTTCGCACACCTCTTCACCTCCCTCGCTCTTGTCGAGGGTGAGAAGAGGAGGGAAGGAGATGACCGCGGAGATCAGCCAGACGACGATAATGGCCGCCTTGATGCGTACGGGAGTGCGCTTGGCACCGTAGGACACGGGCCGGGAGATCGACAGGTAGCGGTCCAGTGCTATTGCGCACAGGTGCACGATGGAGGAGGTGCAGAAGAGAACGTCCAGCGCCAGGTAGATTTCACACCAGATGGAGCTGAACGCCCAGTAGCCCTGCAGCTCGTTCGCCAGCGAGAACGGAATAATGAGCGTGGCCACTAAGATATCTGCAGCAGCCAGCGACACCAGGAACAGGTTCTGAGCGCCCTTTAGCGAGCGCGACGTCAGGACGGCGATGATGACTAGGATGTTCCCGACGATGGTCAGGAGCATCATGAAGGTGATGGCGATGGCAAAGGCGGCGGTGGCTTGCGGGGTGTAAGGCGAGGTCCTGACGGTGCTCCGGTTGCAGGGGCGGGTGCTGGAGATGAGGCTGATGTTCCTGTTGGGGAGTCCGCCGAGCTCCGACAGGCAGGGCGCGTCTGGGGAAGCTGCCATGGTGGTGATGGGGTGGGAGCTTTATGAACGGACTCTTACAGGTTGAGAGACAGCAAAATGGCGTTTCTGTGGTAAACCATCGAGGATCAGGAGTTCCCCATTAAGAGGAGAGACAGAGGGGGGCGGAGTCAAGGTGAAGCCATGTGATCTGTGATGAGGACCTACGAGAAACAGAGACAAGATATTAGTGTAATTTATGTTATTTTGCATCGTTTTTTGTATATTTTTCTATTTTCAGAAACAAAACTTAACACATAACGTCCAGGACACGTAAAGCATTTACAGTGTACGAGGGAACCATTTTTACTCAGGCAGATGTAATGTAAAGAAGTAAAACGACAGAAGTATTGATCGATCGGCTGTTTCTGAGCAGAACTACCTGAAACCTATTTTACTGTTTTGGTACTTTACCACTTTAACCAATTCCTTCCTCTTTTGATGCCATGAGAGAGCTACAGAGTGGGGGTGTAGAGTTTAAGCTACTTTATACTTTTACTCACATTCATCTCACAGCTTTAGTTACTTTGCAGAGTTACACTTTGTACAGATTTTAGTACAGATACATTTTACTGTATTTTATTCTTTTTTACATTACATTCCTCTCTGCTGTTGTGCCAAATTGTACATCAAAATATACACATTTATAAGATTAAACCAGTGCTTCTGAACCTTTTTATCTGTATATTCTTTTATTAAAGTGTCCCATCCAGCAAAGAAAAGACCCTAAACAGCAACATGTAAGACCTCTCACTCACTCACGTTTTAATTTCTGCTGCTTGACTTCAGGCATTGAGGATCGTTATGAAATGAACATCAGATAAAGAAAAGATGCAGCGTCCATACAGGCCCCACAAACCGTGAGACAACTACATTATTATGCATTCACTCCATCCACTCATGAAAATTAGTCACGGCTTCACCATTTTAGAAAAAGAACATTCAGCTGGCAGAACAATGCTGACTGATGCACAACGCCAACTGAAAAATAATACTGTTTGTATCTGTGTTTCAGACGGAGACCGTGGAACCGGTTGTGGCTTTTTAACATAAAATATGTAAAAAGAAATACACTTCTAAATACTTCAGTAGCTGCTGTTTTAATTACAGCCTTGTTTATGATACTCTGTGACCACAAGCCTGCGAGAAAGCAATAAATTCTGCTATTCTGTCCTGTAAATCAAACTTTTTCCATTAAAAATTACTGCCCTTCTCCGTGATACTGCAGTGCTGAATGAGAACACGTTCATGGTTTCAGATGTAAATGTTGGAGGCTAAAGCAGTTGAAATCATCGATTTAATTTAGAAAAGACACAAAGAGTTTGTGTGTCAGGACTTGTTGTTTTTTTCTGACTTCCTCTCTCATTAATCACCTGATGACCCTCAAACCCGGATTACAAATAATCTGCTCAAAATTCATCAAACTGCTCGTTTTACACAAACTCCTGCAGATATTGTGTTCACTGTTTGTGTTCATTGTTCAGTTTATCAGCTGTTAATTTCCATAGAATAATGTCACTGTGGTTTAGATGAATTCTGATGTAACATTTCCTGTAAATATTACAACAGAAGGTAAGTTAAGTCATACAGAGTTAGATGAACCACTGAGATATCGGCTGACTGTGTGAAGTTTTCTTACAGCCCTTTAAATGAAGAAGACCTCACGACCCCCTGTGAAGCATTGGCGAGCCCTAGTGGAGGGTCTTGACCCTCAGGTTGGGAACCACTGCTCCAGAGAGTCGAGGTCTGATAGTATACTTCAATGTCTGTATCTGTAGAATATGTGACAGACATTATAAATATAGTGTTTCTGTAGCAGCAGAAGCAGAAACGCTCTGTGTGCAGTGAGGCAGCCGTCCCCCCGCTGCGTGGACGAGGGGTCGGATTTATCTGCTTGAAGGGGTCCTGACCCCAATGCTGTATGCAATATAAAGCAGTTCATACTAGCTCCACCTGGAGCAGCCATAACAGTAAACTACTACTCTAACATCAGGATTCCCACAGGTCCTGGAAAATCTGTCAATTTATATGTAGTTTAATTTAGTTTTCCAGTCATGGAAACACCTGGAAATTGATTAAAATGACGAAATATCCAGGAAATAACTATTTTATCCTGGAAAATGTTTACTCAGATCGCCTCCATCAAGCTTTTTCTATCACCGACTAACTGACATATAGATAGATATTTCATTTTATGTACAACTGATATAATGAACCCAAATACTGAACACAATACTGTGAATATTGATCAGAGATGAGTTTAGTAACCTTTTATACGATTCTCTGTCTGTATTATGTTTTTTAAACAATCATACAGACTCATTATGATTCATATTTGACAGATTTAGTGTTTTCTGCTCATTGTTCTATCAGCTCTTTGGTTGATTTCTAACACAGGACGAGACTGTTGATCAGAGACTGAAGCTCTGTCTGTTCAGCTCTTCGAACTTTAGATCTTAAATAATATTAGGTTTAAAAATAAACTATTTCATTTAGTTTTCTTCCAAAAACTGACAAAAATACTGAGCTATAGACCGACTGCATATATATTTTGAGTTTTATTACACCCCTTAAAATTAAAAAGACCTTTGGACCCCCTTGTGAAGTTTGGCAACCCCTAGTGGAGGCCCTCACTCCCAGGTTGGGAACCAGTGAAACGGACTCGCAGCAATCATTTCAACATTGTAATGAACCTGAAACTAATTTTAAAAAAAGAATAAAACTGGAGGTTGTAAAATAAATAATTACTTAATATCACTGAGTTAATATTTTGAGAAACTTTCTCAATATAATTTTGTCAGAAATGAGCTTCCGTACAAAACAGTTTCTTTCCTGTATTTAGTTGATTAAAATGTGCGTTTCACAGGCAGAAATACAGATGTTTGCACAGTAAACGTGGCTGCACAGAAAGGAATCTGTGCATTGAACATGTAGGACAGTAAACTGATGATCCAGAAGCTTTTCATACTAACAAACACAAATAAATGTGAACTCACTGGAATATCTTCTTCACTCCGGCTGCGTCATTCTGTGCCAACAACTTTAAAACTTCATTTTCTTGCAAGAAAATGCAGAATGAGACACAAAGTACACTGTGGATGAAATCCCCACAGCCTGGATCAGATCCCCACAGCCTGGATCAGAAGCGGAGAGTCAGGGAGAAAATGCACAAATAGATCCGAGGAGATAAAGCAGGAAAAAAAACACTTTTCTTTAAAAAGTAAATCACAAAGATTGTGGGTAGATCCGTGTCCAGGGCTCCTCTTTACATCCCGGGTTTGTGCTTCCAGTTCGGACTCTGGAGACGGACTCTGCTCGCTCGGGGCTGATGTGCAGAAACTGATGCGGATGTTACCGGATAAACGAGGACGCGCTTTTTTACGCGCAGCTTCAGCGCGGCAGAGCTCAAGTATTTTACTACAGTAAGTCACAGTTACATCACACTTTATTCTACTAAATAAGATTTTAACAAACCAAACCAATGAAGGAGTTTTAAAACAGGATGCTCTGTAAATAATTCTGCCAACTGGAACTGAGCGAAAGTGTGAAAACTGCAGATAAACAAAGACTAAAAATAACTGTGTTTAAACTCTGGAGCTTTTCTTCTATATGTAGTTGATCAAATCAATAATTTATAATCAATAGCCTCATATCCCCTTTGTGCCTGCGTCAGCGTTGTGGTTGTCTGCCAGAAGCTGTCATACATTGACTGTTGATCCAGTCTGAAGCCACATTGTTACCATCCACTGTTTAGATCTTGGTGCTTTTTAACTCTAGATTTGAACCGGATGAAGGATTTTAGTCATTTTCTGATAGATTCAGATTAAATGTGAAGAATGTGGCTACAGGAAGAAACAGCTTCATATGTTTGACCTCCTCCCCACAGTGGAGACCTGGACGACCCACAGTGATCTGTAAACTGTGGAGAACAGGCAGGTTTGGTGCAATGCTTCAGTGTATGCTAATAAAAACTTTATTTATTGAGTTGAATCAACTCAAGTAAATTTCAAGTCAGATAAAAAAAAAAAAATATAATAAAACTTGTAGATTCATATTAGAAACAAAAGATTAGTTGATATATTTTATTTTCTCTCATTTACAGGAAATAAAAAGGAATAAAAACACGACTAGTTCACATCGTCTGTCTCTGCTGTGACACAATAATCATTAATGAGCTGCAGATATTAATTAATCACTGTAAAGAAGTCATTCACATTAATTAAACTCAACTCAAAAACAAATTGTTGAATTAACTCAGTTGTGAGTGAACTTAAAGTTGTTCAGTGTTTTAAATACAGGAGATATAGTTTCAGTTTGTCCATTATATTGACTTTACATCTTTATAACAGTGTAATGTTATTATAATGCTGTTTATGAATCATCATAAGTCAGATTATGCCTCCAAATAATTATTAATGATCCCAAAGTGTAAAGATTTTTAATTGTTTTTAACCTCTATCAGCTGCATGCATTTAATTTAAAATGCATTTAAGGTTTAAATAAGTTTGGAGAAATGCTGCATATGAGTTTAACTACAATTAACTTAATTTACTGAAGTTACCTGAACAATAAATATTTAAAACTTAATTTAATAAAGTTTGAGTTGAACTAACTCATCGGGTTTTACAGTGTATTGAAGAACATCTTCATCATTTACATGTTTGTATTTGTAAGTTTAACCACATTATTTCCTTTAATGACCTTTAATTACACAACGGCCTCCGTAATTAAAAGTCTATTAGAGCCTGTTTATAATTCAGCTCTGTTGGTTCTGATTTAAAACCTGCGTCTGTCTTTAATAACAGGAAACAATGCCAGTGTTAAACAGCCAGTGTAAAGTATGTTAATGTATGCATGTCAGGAGCTTCTCTGTGGGCGGATTCACACAGAAGATTAATGTTCTGGGAGAGTTTAGTGATTGTTGTGACTTCTGGATTTATCACAGCTGCTCATTGCAAGAACAAAACAAACAGTTAAAATGTGTTTGTGAACAGATTTGAGGAGAGAAATAGTCAACAACAGAATCTGGATCCATATCTGATCAGCACTGTTTGACAGTTTGATCTGAGTTTGGTGAGTTGAGCTGGACGGACTCACTGAGAATGAGCTGTCAATCACAAGGTAGCCCCGCCCTAAAGCATACCCTGCTTTATGGTCTGTTTTACTCTAAATGGGACCATCAGTTACTAAATGAACATCATGCTGTATGGAAGAAGACTGAAACTAGAGACTGAGACCAGAAACTCATCAGGAAACTGTTTACTGAGCTCATTGATCAACTGAGAAGTCGGCTCATTTCTCCATAAGACTCAATACTATTTGACATTGTATGCAGCCAATGGAGCTCCCCCTGCTCGCCGTTAGAGAGAATGCAGACCCGAAAGCTCAGTCAATTATATTATTTTACTTTGTCCCATCTGCTAACATGGAGTCTTTATGAGCTGTACTGCAGTCAGCCACCAGAGGGAGATAGAGAGAGAGAGTCTATACTGCAGTCAGCCACCAGGGGGAGACAGAGAGAGAGAGTCTATACTGCAGTCAGCCACCAGGGGAGATAGAGAGAGAGAGAGGGTCTATACTGCAGTCACCCACCAGGGGGAGAGAGAGAGAGAGAGAGTCTATACTGCAGTCAGCCACCAGGGGGAGATAGAGAGAGAGTCTATGCTGCAGTCAGCCATCAGGGGGAGATAGAGAGAGAGAGAGAGTCTATACTGCAGTCACCCACCAGGGGGAGATAGAGAGAGAGAGTCTATACTGCAGTCAGCCACCAGGGGGAGATAGAGAGAGAGAGAGTCTATGCTGCAGTCAGCCACCAGGGGGAGATAGAGAGAGAGAGTCTATACTGCAGTCAGCCACCAGGGGAGGAGAGAGAGAGAGAGAGAGAGAGAGTCTATACTGCAGTCAGCCACCAGGGGGAGATAGAGAGAGAGTCTATACTGCAGTCAGCCACCAGGGGGAGATAGAGAGGGTTTGGATCCACTTCTGGAAATTTTCAAGGGGATCCGTTGACCTCTGACCTCAAGATATCTGACTGAAAACGGGAACCCACGAGTGTCCACTTTTACAGACACTAATTTCATGCAGTTTTTTGCATGTGGTATAAATATGTTAATTTAGTGTATTTCTGTATACTGGGATCCATAAACAGTGTTAGAATTGTATAAATTGGGAATGACTGGAAAGCTGAAACATTAACTTGATGCCAACCCAATTTATTTACAGCGGGGATGAACAGCGTGCCGCCTCCAACGCTGTTTCTCTTTTATAACAGGAAATTCACATGAAGTAATTCAGTCAGGAAAGGTTTTTGTAAACTTCACCAACTTAGTTTTTGTAATTTACAGAAACATTTCTGATTTACTGGGTATTTAGTTTTCACAGGACAAATAAAAAATACAAAATTAAAGTCAGTGTTACTAAAATTACTGAAGCTACTTGATCAAGAATGTTTTTAACTTACACAATTGAGTTTGTTTTACTTAAAATTGTAATGTAATCAGTTTGAACAGTTTTAGTTTGAGTTCAATCAACTTATCTGTCAGTGTTTTACTATAATATCTGATTTTACTGCGGTTGATGTTTAATTGTGCCCTAAACACAACTTAATTTAAAGAAATATGACGTATAAAGTCATGTTTGATTGCTCAGAGGTTTAAAGCATGTTAAATAAAGATGTTATTTCAGCATTTTCTCAGATTTTGGTTTAATTTAAAGTCTGCAGGTTTTTATTGTTTCAGCAGGATCAGCTTATCTCCCCAGACCAGCTACAAACTCATTTCCAAAAGGTGTCGGTGTTAAACCGGCCGTTTCCTCCTCAGGTGACTCAAAAAGCACCTTCGTGTGCACTTTTTAAACTCTTCTACAGAGTCAGTTAATGTGTCTCCGACCCCGAAGAAATCCTTACTGACAGGAAATGTTTCAAAATGCTGCTTTTTTCCCTGTAATCTCAGATAACTGCCAAATATTTATCTCCAGCTCCGTTTATTGTCATGCAGGTAGGCTGGCGGAAAATTGCTCTGGCATTTACACCTGACATAAAGTAACAAACAGTGAAGTTAAAGAGAGCAGACGCGTCCATTAGTGTGAAGTCAAGCTGACAGAATGAGGACGAAACCTTAAGAAACTATACAGACTTTTAGGTCTTTAATATACAAGCAAACTTAAATAAATATCTAATTAAACATTAATCTCTTACTGAATGAATCCAATTATGACTTACGACTATATTTAGTAAGTTAAAGACTAAATAAGTTGGTAACTTTAATAAGCTTTCACTATAATCTATTTTAAAGCCCATTTCTGCCAATTTGATGTAAAAAGATTCTCTAAGTAAAGTTTCTCAAAAGATTGATTTAGAGATACAAATCATTATTTTATAATTACTTACAACTTGCTAGTTATCTAGCTAGCTAATTCACATTAGTTCTTAGACAGTTAGCTAAAGTTTTGCTAACATTAAGTTTTGTCTTTTAACCAATCTTCAAAATGTGTCTTTTCAACATAGTTGTTAAGTGAAACAGTTGTTGGTTCAACTTAATATCTTAAGTTCATTGAAGACGTTTTCTCAAGTTCAGTTAATTGGTTTTACAACTCTTAACAAGAAAATGTTGTTCAACCAAAGTTAACTCACATTTTTAAAGCAACAAATTAACTTTTATTCTGAAGTTGAACCAGCTCAAGATGTTTGTATGAGGTTCCAAAGAAGTTGGGACACATTAATAAATAAATATATAGAGAATTTAACAGGTAAAAAAATAATCTGAACCAGTAATGACAGCTGTCAGATGAATGTAGTGAGATAAAAGGTAGAAGCTGGTATAAAGTCCACGCAATGATGAAGACTGAGATGTGGCTGAAAGCTCCAGAAAGTTTGCATTAAATGTAGATTTTTGGTTTAGCATTGTTTTGTTTAAGTATTATTTTCATTCATATTATTTGATCAATCTCCATAAACCCAAAATATACAATGTGAAATCAGTTATATGATTGTAGCATTTATTTTCTGCATGTTAGTTCACTGCAAACTTCAGTTACTGTGTGAATATTATCATATATAGTTTTCTCAGCTGGTGTTATTCTGCCCTCTAGTGGCAGCATCCACGTGCTGCAGTGAGGCAGGTGGGGGGGCAGTAGCAGGTCTGTGATCTTCCTCTGGTTTGTTGGTAGAAACAGAGCCTTCGATAATAGTCCACATTGTGGACTAAGTGTCGCACTGCATCCTTCTCCTTGACACCACTGATTTCAGTCTAGGCTACTAACAATCAGGAAAAATACATAAAAACATTAAAATAAATTTAATCGAATTGTTTATTTTTTTTTTAAATGTGGGAGGAAACCGAA